TTTTTACTCTAGAAAACAGAAAGAAATGCAATTGTTGCAGGATACAAAATTGACAACATAGCAACCAGGTAGAGTAACTGCGAAACTCAATTTATAGATGGGAAATAGCCATAGCCAAAACCAATAACATCACTATTGATAAAAAATACTTGATTATATTTTTGCCTGATATTGCAAGTTGATATACAAATATAGAAAAAAAAATCGTCTAAACACAAAATGGTGCTGCCGAAATATTGAAGCTTTTGAATGAACGAAAGGTACGTAATATAATTCTATCTGTATGTACATACGAGCTGATCACTGAATCCTTCACCGAAATATTATTTTGCTGCAAAAACCAATGTGTTTTGTTAATGCAAGATTGGATAAAAATTCCACTAAAAAATAATTCTTAAATTCAAACATTTAATCTAACATTTTCATAACAGATTGAACGTATCCTATTAATTAATAGAAATTAGGCAAGCGAACTGACACTCACGCTTCTAATAATTATCAAATTTATATACGAACAGCTAATTATCATAGATCCTCTACTAAAACTAAAATTACAAAAAAAAGGCAACTTTATATTAATTTTTTATAAATTTAGAAAAAAGAGGCAATGTCAGCTGGTTCAATAACGAAATGCAATATAGATATTTTTATCTCTGGAAACAATCAGTATGCGATGTTCAGATTACAATCAAAATGATCTATCTACCTTTACGGCTTGTCACAAACCCCTAAGATACGCTGTCTCGTCCAGAGCCTCCGTCAAAATCACAGAAATGTAGATTACACCGTTGTCGCTTCATCATTTTTAATTTGGCCTAACTAACCAGAGGAATATCTTGCTAGTACATGTAATAGGGCTTCTCAATAGCCTTGATTTGTTAAGTTTCTAATCATTGCTGGGGCACTGGTTTTAACAAATTTCGGTGACGCTCAGGCATGGGAGGAAGGAAGTTGCCATTAGCACATTAACTATTGAAACTGTTACAATTTAACATATTTTACTACAATTATGTAGTAATTTGTAACAAATTTTCAGTTTAGTTAGAGATTCTAATTTCCTGCAGTTTCCTGTTTTTGCCTAGCTAAGAGACAAAAATGCATTTGGCAATAAATTTTGTTGATTTGTTTTGTTTTTAACAAATTTTTAAACCAATACTTTCAAAATATCAACGTGCAAGTTTTTGTGTGGCCTAAATCTCAAGAAAACCCAATGGCTCTAATGCCTAAAGAACTACAGTGAAAATTTAAAATTTTTTTCCAAACTTGCAAAAATTCATTGGACACAAAGTTGAAACAAATTCAAGTAATATATCAAACACCTGTTGTCCCCACTCTCAAGACAAAATGTATTTTAAAAAAACAAAACGTATTTTAACGAGTCATTAACTAACTTTAACTAGATTTGAACTTTACTAACTACATTATTCTGAGGACAAAATTCAAACTCGAGACAAGACGCAAATAAGACGCAATAAAAAAAGCACAATTAAAAAAAAGCACTGAGCAGGGAAAAAACGGAAAATATTAAAATAGATATTATTATGAAAATTAAGAATTTATAAAAAAAATATTCTAATTTCTGCACATAGATCTGTATAGTCACAGTATATAAAAAGCATGCAAACTAAGATACAAAGTCACTCTTGTATCAACTTTCTAATCAGCTGCTAATACTAGGGCTACAAAGAGAGCAACAGTGAAAAGGAAAAAAATAAAAATTGATGTGATATATTAAACTCCAGGGGGAATCAGTATTTTTTTTTTATTTCTCTACTTATTAAGTACGCAGAGAATGCATCCATCCAGCTGTATTGTACAGGAGTAGATAGGTGACTCAAGAATTAAAAAAAAAATAATAACTGGGAGAGAAAAGAAAAGAAACACTGGGAGAGCTCACGTTGCAATATTGCCAAATCTAGATCATGCTGTGATTATGTATATTCTGACAGATTTAGGCATAATACCATGGTAGTCAGGTTTAATAGGAATTCCACTCCACTCTCACTTCCAGTTAAACTCTATTCAGCATACACATGGAGAAGAATTTTCCCGCTGAAATTACTCCCTACGTTTCCCGGTTTAATTTTGCCCCTGTAGACAAAAACCCACAGAAATAAAACACAATGGCATCATTTATTAGGGGGGACTTTGTGAAGTCTGGATGCTTTGTGCGTTGTGGATGAATAAAGGCAATTTCTCAATGGTAAAGAAACGTCATATGCAAGACATAATAGAATTGGGGAAAATAAACAGCAAATTAGTCAGCCAGCCAGCTTGAGATAAAAAAAATTGAATTTCTAAATTGTATATCAATATGGGTTTCTTTCAGCACTTGTGAGCACAGGGTCTACTATGAAAGACTTAGCGCTATATAAAAAATTCTTTGCGGGCAGCCTCTCGTTTATGCGAGTTGACAATGCTATTTCACCAGATTCTCAGTACGCCTACAATTCTCTATCCTAATTCTCAATGATCTAAAAGCTCTACCTTGAATCCTACCCAACTCAAAATCGATTTTAACTTCCATTCTCTGTGCTCTCTTATCAAGCGACTGCTGAACAAAATCAAACCAGACACGTTCAGCTTTTCCCAACAGACCAACACAGCTTCTCCTGTCTACATCTTTGAAACACATTTGTTTTCCCTTGTTCTCGTTGTGAAGTGCAGCACTGTCTGTGGCCCACAGCAACGTATTACATCATGCAACAAGAAACCCAACCATACCCAGTTCCTGTCATACTATTTTCAAAATTCAACCTCATGATTACATCCTGTTTGCACTACTCTAATATTGTCTCCAATGTCTGTACTTCTCCAAAACAACTGCTCATAACAATGAGCCTAAAAAAATAGTGATTTGGGACGGATTTGATACTGATAAACGGGAGGTCTTGTACACAGATATACCAGAAATCCCAGGAGAACATTTGCGCCCTGGAGTAAAATAATAACACAGATAGGGGGTCTTCATTTGTCTCACTACCACGCCAAGAAGCCTCACAAATGCACAGGTGCCGACGCTGCTTGGAACAGCCAAGATAAATAGCTTTATTATGAATTTACATGGCATGTGTTTCTCGAGCAGTGCTTGTCTATAGACTACACATTTATGCCGTCCACATGTTAGATTTGCTTGGTTTTTGAAGGCCTGAATTCAAACTTTCTAGCAGTTTTACGCAGATGACAACAATTTTTCCCGGGAGAGCACACCTCGGCCTTGCGTGACACCAATTTGCGGGGACAAATATCCACGGGACAGACGGGGAGAGATCATTGTTCAGCGGGCAGCGAAATCCTTTGCGTACCCCTGGCAAACACAATGGGAGCCGGGCAGCGTTATATCGCTCCCAGTTCACAGCATGTTGAATGAGGGACTTGTCATTAAAAACGCTGGATTTTTAACCGACTGTCACAATAGGTTGAATTCGTGAACAGGAGGTCGGTGGCGAGTGCCTATAAACATAAACGCTTCGTGGATTGTTTATTAGCTACCAAAAAAAGGGGAAAAAACCCTACCACTAAACAAAACAAAAAATAGTGAAATCGACACTCTGTTGCGATAATATTAATAAAGATAACATGTGGCGTCCACAAATGGGGATCTTTTTTGAATGAGACTTGCGACTCCGAATGTATGGTTTGCGAGCAGAAAAGTACTGTAAGGTCAGTGTTAGAGCCATACACAGATGAAAGCAATTCAACACTCGCGGTTCGGAGTTCATAAATCTTCACAAATGGAACGTTTCACTTCCCGCCAAACAATAATTTCGACAACGTTAAAATGTACAGCATTCGCCGAATGCTCTTTTTGTTTTCGATTCATATTAATAAAGCCGAATTAAACCTAGAGTTCTATGTTATCTTTAATTTTAATTGCATGGAGGTTCAGTGATCTGGCCGATAGGCCATCAGTGAGTAAAAACACCGAGCTCGATCAGTTTGTTTCCAAGCACTGCGCTAAAAGGGGCGTTAGTTTGACATGCAATTTGCCGGGTATGTGGGCAGAAACGACAGCGCCGAGTCTCGAGTGCAGCGAGTTTGTCAAGTTGTAACTAATGCCGAGGGTCACACAGTGCAACTGTGTGAATGCAATTCGAGATCGTACGCTTAGAATTTAATCAAACTAATCAAAGCAAACGAAACCAAAGAAACCGTCATACACTGACTTACCACTGCCTGAACAGTTCCCCTCAAAAGGCAAGAGACATTGAAAAAAAGCGAAAGGACAAATTCCATAAACTGATTCAGCTATATTATTCACTTATACGAAATTTTGCTTTGGAAAACTAGTTTAGTTAATATTCAGAATCACCGTGTTTTATTTTCAATTTGAGAAAATATAGTACAGCACAAACAAACAAATGCATATTGATCGTGCCGGTTGCGTATGGAGACCGGGAAAATAAGTAAACAGGTCAAGTTATGGAAAGAACAGAGACGCGATAACAGAAAATGTGGTCGTGACAGTGAATAATTAAACGACAAAATTAAATTGTTTTTTTTTTTACAATTTCTATTTTGACAAATGAACGTCAAACATGGAGGTGAAAAAGAGGAAGCGAGTACAACACAGAAGAATCGAAACGCCATGGTATACGGATAGATAGGAAACAGAAAGTAAAATTGTCGCAAATAAACTGCTACAAATTCATTAGTTTTCACTCGGTCACACCAAACAGAACAGTAGGACGGAGTTCACTTCAGATGTGCGGTATCGTGTACGAGTAAAAGAACGGCCATGATTGTGACATTAGCGAATGTGCAAACAATTCTGTTTTGCGGATGATTATTGGGAGGCGAATTATAAATTTCAGTTCGATAGACTGTTAATCGCCGCCTTATACAATAAATAGCAAGGATGTATGCATCGGGCCAGATTCGACACAACGCCAACTATGCCTTGTTGATGCAGTGTTCGGGCGAGTACACACAAAGCGAAGCGAATCTAAAAAAAATGCAATGGCTCAAGAAAATGCGTAAAATACGACATAGTTACTCACCAGGCATTGTTGGTGGGTAATATTTCCCCTGAAATTGGGGTAAGCTACCAATAGTCTGCGGCGTGGCAGCCGGTGACGGGTGTCGAACATTACTTCCACCAGTCTCTGTAAATATGGGGCTCATCACAAGACCCGTATTAAGAGCTCCCGCCGCTGCACTGCCACTACCCACTGGTTGTTTCTGAAACGTTCCTCTTCCGTCCATTATTACCGACACGCAGTTGTCTTTCCCGCTTAGTAATGTAGAATTCTCCTCTCTGGCTGGGACGTGGAGTCACTCGATCGACCTCGGCATCGAGTCCTAAGCAAAACAACACAACGAGGAGTTATTTGTAAAGCGTGTTTACTGTGGCGTGGTGGAATCGACGAACACGGTGAAAGCTGCTATAAGTAACCGTTAGTGAAGTTCACAACATTGCATCTAGGGGTAGATGGAGACTGAAAGACTTATAAAAATCGAACAGCTTGGACATCGAAAATAAAATGAACGACCCTGTATGCAACAAGGGTCATATTTAGGTGACGTACTAGACGTTAAAATTGTACTTAAAAATGCAAGATTTAAAACTAAGAAAATGGGCAGGGGTGCACCACAAGCCACACACTTGCGCAACATGTCAACAATGCACAGTCGCGCGTCAAATAGAAAACAAAAATATTTCTTGCTGACAAAAATAAATTACATCAGTATGTAGCATAATATCAATGCACGCCTGGAAGCCGCGTGAAAACAAAAACAAACAAAAAATTTCCCGTTCAGTTTGCATACATCTAACGCTGACAAGTGTTGATGAATGAAAGCAGACAGGGTTTCTATTGATGGGTACGAAAAATGTGAAAATAAATAAATCAATAATCCTCTTCTGACATTTACCGCAAAAAACAAAACAAAAAAAATAACGAAAATAAAATACAGTTTCCTGTAATTGTGGAGTATGTATGACCAATGCGTTTAAGAGCATAAGAAATAGCGCCCCACTGACAGACGCACAGGACTTCTCAAGATGGCAATAACACTATAAAATGCAACTTTAAATGCTGGATATACACGAAATACAGAAAAAACGACAACGCTGAGAGTGTATTTAATTCTCAGGCGAGATACAACGCGCAGTGGCGCTTAGTAACGTCACTACCATGACAAGCAATGTAACGTTGAGGTGCATACGAACTCGTCGGAAATAGTATATACGAGTTGTGAAGTTTAAGATTGTACGAGTTTCATTTGAGCTCTAAGAAATTAAGTATTTAATACTTTTACCCGCGTGATTGTCCTGTCAGAGTAATGGCGATTCGTTTTACTAAATCGTGTATGTATAGTACAATGTAAAAGGTAAAATTCGAGTCGGCTGCCTGGTGTATTTCAAACACCCTATTAAACAGCCGATGACGTAATACCGATCCGCTATGAGGTGGTCAATAACAAAACTAAAAACAAATGTTCTCCAAGCGAAAAAATAATGCCAACACCCAAACATGGCAATACATTTAAACTACACACACACAAAATATGCCTGTCCTTTGAATGGTGTGGGATTTCAACGTGCAACATCGTGTAGACGAAGGCGTGGTTTTTTTTTTAGCGCGACGAGCGTTTTCAGATGTGACAAATCTCTAAAAATACCCAAAAGTGAGTCACAGCACCATGTACACATGCCAGTAAATTTCACCAACGAGAAACAGTCGCCACACATGCGATTGTGTTGTTGTTTGCACGTTTTGTGGTATATAATTCACAAATTTCGATTGAGAAAAAATGGTGCCTTGCCCGTGTAGCGACACCGAGAAAGAAAGCGAGACAACACATCGTACAACATCACATGTATTCAGCCAAACGAGTTACACAGAATTTGTACCGAAATATCTCACATGACGTAACGTTAATGTAGCGTCAATGGTTGATTTAGTCCTCCGAATCACACACTTTATCTGCCAAGGCAGTGTCATAGATAAACTAAAATCGCGGACACGAATGGTTTCGATGTCAACACAGACGATTTTGAATAACGATAGAGCAGCTCCGCCCGCGACTCTATAGCGTGATCAACAAAGCTTGCATCACTCGGCGAGGAATGGCTCTGCACGCGGTGTGTCACGACAGCATTTGATCAATGGGCACAACAACGAAAAAAATGATCACAGCCTTATGTGACGTTTCAGTAATGATGCAAGTCGTAGATCGCCATGATTTAAAAAACAAGACGAAGTAGTAGTTGTTTAAAAATGGGTTGACACGGTCAAAACTGCCAATTGCACTGAAGTGTTTGTGTTTCACGATGGCATTTCAACTGTCACGGCTCGGGCATGCTAGCGCGAATGCACTCACCGTTTCATCCAAAATATTCAGACACGGGAAATAGCTAGGTTACAATTCCAATCGTATTGTGTCGAAAACGGCTTGTATGACAGCAAACAACGTGGCGGTCAGCATCGGTGTCGGGAGCCAGTGTGTTTGTTTTCGCTGACGACAAGCATGTAGAGAGCGTGTGAATGCACAGAGACTGCACTGCACTGTGGTACCACGTTCGATCATATGCGTACAAGGCGGGGACAAAACAGAGAAACCACGACACGAAAGCAAACGTAAAGCTAAAATTAACGGTCAAACGGATCTTCTGTGTTGAACACAAAACACCATACGCTGGCCGATTACTCGGAAAAGACAGAAAAATTATTCGTGATTATATGGGCCCAAGAATGGAGCGCCGAAAAGCCGAAACATTTGGGACCGCAGGCTTCGTGGACGAAGTTTGCGGGAAACAACTTTGAAATCGGCCAGTTCTGATTCAAGAAGGCACACGTAAAACAGAACGTGCGCTGCGAGAAAAAAAACAAACTTACAGGGAATACTTACGGTACTGAGGCGACGGTGCCAGGGAGAGAGAGAACTGCAGGATAGATCCGTGAGCATAAAGAGAATGGAATCATTCGCTATTTGATTGATGCTGACTGTAGTATGTTGCTTTTTCTTAGTCAGTGCTGTGTGGCTAGTGGTGTGGTTTTATCGCTACACATTGCATTGCTTGCATTGTGCCACACTACTGTCTGTACAAAGTAAACAGGGTCCTGATTGGCTCAGACAAAACTCTTATCTATTATTTAGAATAATGGCTTGTCGGTTTCAGGGACCCCTCGTCTGAATAGACACGCATTGATTGTCAACTATCGAGTTGGTGGTGCGTGTGTCGGTCCAGTTGATTTTGAGGGTGCGTCCAACACGTACAATCGACCGGAAACACATGGGGTCATGAAAACTGAAATAAAAACGCCTATTTACCAGAAAACAAATGAAACATAAGCAGTTAGACTGAGATTTTTTCGCTGAAATGATGACGAACTCACGGAACGCGACACTTTTTACACCTTTAGAACACGGCTTTTAAAGGCACCACCCCTACGACCAAATGCACTTGTCTACCTGGGACACATTGGGCCTGGGGTCTTGGGCACGGTCGAAACGGATCGCCGACTCTTTATTATTGCACGAGTCAATTGCTTGCCGAGCTTCAAGACTCAAAGGGAGCAAAGCCTGAATAACAATCAGCCGCTAGAAATAGTTATGGAGCGAAGCGGAGGGACCATTCATTTTCCCGTTGTTGTTGGTATGTAGTTTCCAACGCAAGACGTGCTTTTATGGTTTTCTCACAAACAGCGCAATGTCACCTAGCAATAAAGATGATTTACATGCTGCCTGTGCTAAAAACCCTCCATACTGTCCGTGCTTTGGTGTCATAGTCGGCGACTCATACTCTCCCTGTAATTTGTCACCCGAGTTGAAAAATACAATTTAATGTTTAAGTCACCGGATTTGAATATTTATATATTTCACCCGTCCGACAAATTCACCATATACAACAAACGTAATTGGAAGGTCGATCACAGTCTAACAAAACGCCATAGTTCCGAAATTTACATGTTGATCTCGCCTTGGCATTTTCACCGAGGCTTGAAACATCGCCAACGATTTCGCGTGTGTTTACTATTCACGACTATACTGCCATGGAGGCCGTTCCCTGATATAACAGTGATACAATGAGCATTTGGCGCGAGCGGAAAAGTACGGAGAAGGAATTCGATATAAGCATTGAGACAGGTGTTGGCAAACATATTTTTTCAGCCATATCACTATGAACTCGTATGGTTCAAAGCTGTGTTCATTTTCTCGAAGGCCCCTGTCAGACGAGAGGTCCAGGCCGGCAGGTGGTGGGTCCTAATCAACGGGTTTTTTTTTCGAACACTGAATACTGCATGTATCGCCTGGCCCTCAATTACTATCATAGTATAACTGGCGTCAATGCGATCGCTTGCGAAACATCGCTTGGAAACGAACCAGTTCTAATCATTATAACAAACACATCTGTTGATTAAATCCATCGGTGCTCGTTTTTCTCTCTCTCAATTTTTGAATGGCACTGTTGGTTTCTTCTGCTCATATTGTAACCCAGCACAGTATTGTACTCCAGAAAAAAAGAAGGTATGTGGTCATGACACCTTCCGAACACTTACTTCATTTGTTTGCCCCATGATGGTAATTAGCACGATTAGAACGACTTACATAAGCAGGACAACGTGCCATTCAACTAAGTACACGAACGTTTGGCACCCTCGTGTTGAAACAAACGAGTGATCATAGGCAGTTGTTATTCTCCCCAAAATGGCGCCGACGACACCAGGGGTGTATATTAAATATATATCGTATACCCTGGGGTATATATACCATATATTAATTGTTGGTTTAAATATTAATCGTGGTCCCCAAGCCATTATCAAAATCACAAATAGTAAACAATAACTTGTATATCTCAGGGCTACCTAGAGGGAGTATGAAATTGTACGCTTATCATTTTACAATTCTGACAACAGAATGACATACGAGTTTAGGTAAAGTACATTCTATAGTTAGTCTATTTCCATTGCTCTCGTTCATGGCCAAGTGTTTCCAACGCTCCGACAATCTTGACTGCGCTTTCCGTCAAGGTAAACTCCTCTGATCCCCGAGTTCACCAACTTATTCCGGCTTGTCATGATGGCTATCGATACAGTGCCCATAGGCCACGCCATTCATGTAGTAGGGCGAATGAATGGGTCTGTGACATTGAGAGAAAGCAAATTCTTGCGAGGTTTTTTAAGTGCAGTCTTTTCAGTCTAACTCCATTTGCAACCCAAATATGCATATTCTTATATATCTCCACAATGTATCCGTCATGCCGAGACTACAATGTTTGAATTAATTCCTATTTGTGGCAGTCGCCGCGATCACATTTTGTTCCTGGTGGCGCATCCAGAGTGGTGATGTGAAATATCAAATAACGTAATATTATAATAGGACCAACAAAGAGTAATATTGCCTTAAGTAAGATGTACATAATGAACTGTGCATATCTGTATATACCTTATACTAGTCAAAGCTCTGGTCGCACGCAACTGCCGGCGACAGTGACGACATGAACTGGTAGGACCATTTACTTTACAGCTGCATTATTTACTTAAACAGAAAAAAGCATATTCATTTTAACTTCCCTACAAAATGATATAAAATTTTAATTGTTGCTCGAGATTCAACTTCTGTTACGAGGTTTTCTTTTAGAAGTTATTTTGGACTTTGGAGTTTTGGAGTACTGTCATATACTGAAAGATGAGTCAGAGGAAAGGTTACCTGGCAACCAAATCGAATTTCCACTGATATAGCATCGGCCGAGTAATTGCCGTGGACAGAGCGGAGCTTGATACACGACATCATAGACGTGGCTGGCTCGGAGCTGTGGCGAACCGTGCATGCAAAGACGAGACATTCCATTCGCTGCACAGTGTGGGCTACAGGAGAGTATCGTGTCAATGAAGAAGCTATCTATAGTAAGCAACTGTACTGCCAACTTGAAAATTGTGTAAAAAATAACAAAGAATACCAAACATTTCCGTGACCATATCGGTGCCTAAACCTTGGATTACGGTGAAATGTTTCTTATAGTAATCGCAAGGTGGGACAATCTTTGACACGTTAATCTCCCCTTTCATAATCCGGGAAAATTATTAATAAATAGCGTGCTGCGAAAGGAATTATTTGACCTCATTACGCCGTAAGTGCAAAGATCGCCCACGTGACGAGAGGTATGTGCCGAGACGAGGGTATTCGCTTTTTACAACAGATAGCAGGGACATCATTCTATGTTAAAGACTGATTTGAAAATAACGTGAATTATGCGCCACCTCGATATTATATTTAAATCGTTTATTCCAGTCCAGATGCGTGAATTTTGAACATTCTAATGACATCAGACTGAAAGAGATCAGCTTCGAGTTGCCATAGCAACGACTGTATTATACTGCCGTATTTTTTCCGCGTTCGACAGGGTTTTAACGAACGTGATTTATAGCGAATTACAGAAGACAGCTAAGTATATGTCGTATCTTTATTTTGTTTTCGTTTGACCTGGAACCCGAAATGAGAACAACCAAACTGGTATACACTCTATACATCGCCGTGGTTTCCCAGTAGAGTTGTACGCAAATGGTTACACTATTTTCACTTTCGCGATCATCGCGCTTCGATTCGGAAGCAAGGGCAAAAGGCTCATCCGATTTCCTCGTATATTTCCCCCTGCGTATACATAAAATTCCAAATTCTATGGAGCACTATGCTTTAAGAAATACAGCTGCTCCGTTTCACCGATACTGCAAAATACATGCATTATGCTGATGGGCCCAGACGAATTGGCTCGTACCGAGTGCCTGCATGGGCGCCGGCACCGATACGAGAACACAAAAGCACTCATCGCGTTATGACATACGACGGCACAGGCTATAATATTCCGCGTGTGTATGTGAGATGTGTGCTTTCTACAAAGACTGTCTATGGACAAGCGTTACTGTATTAATCTCCCTTCCCAAAATGCAATTAGTATGTCGTCTAACTCGCCCTTCGTATATCGTACGGTGGCAATTTGTGAATACTCGACTCTGACTTCGTCGGTACACACGTGATGCCGTGTTTAAGCATGTATAGGCGGTACACGTGTACGTAAACAGTTGTGAGCATGCCGCGCACGCCCAATATATATTCGTTTTATAAATGGACGTATACTTGTATATCGTAATATGTGCAAAAAAATCGTACTTCTCCCGGTGAAAAAATATGAACTTTCCTTTCGAAAACTGAGCCTTTTTATCGCACCACCCGTGGTAATACTGATCGCGCTGTGGCAAATCCTATGTATTTTGGGGCTATTAAAACCAAAATTAACAATTTAAATATGTCATCTGCAGCTTATACTAGGATGTTATTTTCATTTATAAATAGTACACGATACACCCCCCTCCCTCTCCCGCGTGACACCAGCGATGACATGGCAAATTTCCAAATTCGCCCAATCTATGAATCGCTTAACGAGGACGTGTAGTAGTAGTCGAAGTTGAGTGCCTTCATTCGAACGCTATAACTGCACGACTGACTCCGTATGATGTAAGTGATACCGAGTCCCTGGTATAGTCATGGTGCCAGCCACATATATAACGCAGCATACGTCAGTCCACATTACACACCCAGTAGGTTCCCACCCAAGAATCGCTGATTCTTACGAGGAATATTTACCTCGCGTTGTAGACTTTTTCGTCGGCACCGCTTACCTACCCATGGTCACTCGGCTGCAGATTTATACTTGTATCATAATACCATCTAACCGAAATGCACATGTTCCTTACACACGGAACACAATTAATACAATTTTGTTAAAGGTGTATACGTAATTTCTGAGAAGTCAGGGTAAAAGAGATCTATACGTGTACATATAACCTGTAAAAAGGTTGAGCTACAAATCATGAAACCGATTTTGGCTATGTTTTGTTGATCCAACACTAGTACTCGCGTAGCTTCAATGATTCGGAGGCGTGCATGTAGACTTCGGGAACAGCAAATACACTAGGAAAGAAGCGTACAATAAAACACGTGACCGCGGGTGTGTGATTGATTTCTAAACGAGGGCTTCGCAGATCCAGCCCA